CAGATGTAACTCGGATCTGAGTACTCCGTGAAGTTTAGAATAATGAATAACTTTCTTGTTATCAAGCCACGCAAGGAACACTTTCAGTTTACTGGAAAGTTAAAAACATTTACAAGTGGCAACTCACTCATAAACCCATTGTGGATCAACAAGAAAAGGTTTTTTTGGTAATGCGAAAGCACATCGCAAAATTGCTGCTCTTCCTCCAAAAGAAAACACCACATGAGTGATGGTTCTGGTGAAACGTCGTGAGACGACGGCACCCATTCGACGAAGCCGAGAACGTACATCTTCAGATGAATCTGCGCAGCAGCCCATTTCTACGATAATTCGACAGCCTGGTGTTTATTAAGATGAATTTGACAGGAAAAAGATGTAAACTGCGATGATAAATTCCCAAGTAGCGCCAGTAAGTACTAACCGTTCAAAATACTGGAAAACGACTCCTGCGGATCACCAGCGATACCAGATGATTCTGCAATCGAGAAGAGCGAGCGCTTCATTTCACACTCGAGTGCGGCGAAAGCTCCTTCAGACGATGAGTCAAATGAGTCCCTAAGGCGAGTAGCACACAAAGACAGTGGACGCCTTTGAGCATCTGAAGTAGTCTGTATACAGAACATGGAATTTTCCCACTTGAACAGATAGCCAGCCCCATATCAGGTGCCAAGCGTCCTCAATAGTGCGGTCATCCACGAGCTCACACTCGAAAGTTAACAAAAGATAGATTAATGAAGAAGAGGGCTGCAGTAGGGAAATGAGTACTATAGAAAAAACGTATTCGTACAAGGAAATTCTATATAAGCGGTTTTCGTGCGCAACAAATTAGTTCAATGTATTTGCAGTTAGAAGTTCTGAAATCATGCACAGGTGGAAAAAAACAGCCCCAATTGTCTTGAAAATAATTCAAAAAAAGCTTGAAAACAATACTGAAACAATGAAAATTCATATAATAATCTCACAAGGTTGGCAAGTCATGGACAAAAGCTATGACATATATAAGAAGGCGAGGGCAGACGGGGTGTCGGCAGTGAAAGCGACAACCTTGTGAGACTCACGCATCGCGTACTGCGGCGAAAAAACAGCAATAAACAAAAACATCAAGTTCAAATACATTGCTTTATTTATTCTCAAGTTTCATCTTGCGCACGGATGAAGTTATTTCAAGTAAGCCACAGAAGTGATTGAGAGGGTTGGGGGACCGCCGGATTGCCGGACATGGTTCCCCTTGAGCTGTAGAACTGCGCGAAAACTGTATCCTGCGAG